TGCATACCCCCACCAACTATTGGTCCCACCATGGTCGCGTCGTCCCCACTTTCCGGCCGTGGGATGAATTACGAGAGCCCTGGTTGGTATGCATGGTCCTATGCTGTCGTATATGCAGTTTTCTCTTTCTCTTCCTATTCCTCTCTCAGCTACCTGACTTCAAGCTTTTCTTTCACAGTGCACAAACTTCCATCCGTTTTACTACATTAGCTAATACAAAAAATCATTTCTAGTACCTTATAAAAAATATGATTACATAATATTACATTCTTTATAAAACTGATCAAGTACAGAAAAACGTTGAGAAGAAGATATTATACTGTATTCAATGCGTCGTCTTTAATTTACATACAAATATTTATCACACAAGTAATTAATTTTAGGAACTTTCTTTATTGTGGAAGAAAAAATAACTTAGAATTTCAAGATTTGAGGTTCAAATTACTTCAAAACGACAATTACATAGCATGTCACGCTGAACTGACAGTAATTAGAATCTTAGAATATCACATTTCACAGTATTTCTTACTACAAATAACATCGTCTTATCGTTTCAACTATGACGTAAACAAAAAATCAAAGTATTACTTATCGTCGCTCAATTCTTATAGGTACTCCATAAATTGCATGAGTTAAATAAAGATACAGGAAACAGAGAACACAAGGAGGTGATTGGGTTCAGTAAAAACAAAATTGTCTACGTTTTAAAATATTGTTGGCCCTAAAAAGGGCCGGTTGAATGAACTCGAAATCGTAGGCGTTTTACTTCGAGCTGGTGTACTTGGTTACAGCTTTAGTGCCTTCAGACACTGCGTGTTTGGCCAATTCGCCAGGCAGCAAAAGTCTGACTGCAGTTTGGATTTCCCGAGAAGTGATGGTAGATCTTTTGTTGTAGTGAGCTAAACGGGAAGCTTCGGCAGCAATGCGTTCAAAAACGTCGTTGACAAAACTGTTCATGATGCTCATGGCCTTGCTCGAGATTCCAGTGTCAGGATGGACTTGCTTCAATACTTTGTAAATATAGATAGCGTAACTCTCCTTCCTCCTCCTCTTCTTTTTCTTATCAGTCTTGCTGATGTTCTTCTGAGCTTTACCAGCTTTCTTCACGGCTTTTCCGCTTGCTTTCGGTGGCATCTTCACAATTTACTCGTAGACTTGAAACGAATCCTCGCAGAGCGAAATGTGAAAACTGATGCGGTCACAAGGTTCAACGCGTTTATATATCGAAACACGCTGCCAGCAGCGCACCAATGACGCGCTAGCTTGCACGCCATTGGTGCGCTGCTGGCAGCGTGTTTCCCGTTTATATCGGGCAGCTCTGTGGTGACTTTATTATATCTCTCTTGGCTGTTTTCGTGTGTGTACCGATAACTTAACATTGCATAATAATGTCTGGCCGCGGCAAAGGTGGAAAAGCAAAAGGAAAGGCGAAGTCTCGCTCAAACCGTGCTGGTTTACAATTTCCTGTCGGTCGTATTCACCGGCTTCTTCGGAAAGGCAATTACGCTGAACGCGTCGGTGCAGGAGCTCCAGTGTATTTAGCTGCTGTGATGGAATATTTGGCTGCTGAAGTCTTGGAACTAGCGGGAAACGCTGCTCGCGATAACAAGAAGACTAGGATTATTCCTCGTCATCTCCAACTTGCAATCCGCAATGACGAGGAGTTGAACAAATTGCTGTCTGGTGTTACCATCGCTCAAGGTGGTGTATTGCCGAATATTCAAGCTGTTTTGTTGCCGAAGAAAACCGAGAAAAAAGCTTAACTAGTATGTGACTAGTTTCTTCTACAACCTACACGAATGGCCCTTTTCAGGGCCACAAAGAATTTTCAAACGAAGGAATTACCCTAACTAATTCATCAATCAACTTTCCTATCTTTTTTTTTAAAGAAAAGACATTACAATAATAGTAGAATATAAAAAAAAACCGTCCAACTATATGAAATTCACCAGCTAATTTATTTTCTGTCATTTGGACGAATTCAGAAAATACGTCTTCTAATAAACACAAGCCGTCAATGGCACTAAAAGTGAATAGATTAAAAAAAACCTCGTGAGTGATCCAGAGAAACTAAACATATGAAGAAAGAAATCGCTTGCACAATGAATATAAACCTTCCTGCATTCATTTAAAAGTAGTTTTGAAGGAACAGTTCTACAAATTCAAATGTATAGTAGAGTGTAGAGCAGGCATGGCCAAGTACACGTGCCCCACTCAGGGATCTCGTAATTTTCCGTGCATGGCTCGCTTCCCCTCTTTTTCGCCCGTATTTCGATCCCCACTACTATTCCCCTCATGCGTGCTCATGCGCGTTCGCGAAACTCTCCGCAGCGCTACCGTGAAAATCACTGCATACCCCCACCAACTATTGGTCCCCACCATGGTCGCGTCGTTCCCACTTTCCGGCCGACCGAAAAATTACGAGATCTCTGGCCCCACTGTAGCTGTTCTCCCTACTTCGTGCAGTAGGCCCAGGAAGCCCTCACATTATTTCAGTATGTTACGTGCGTGCATCATACACACTATTAACCGTTCGGACTGCCCACTCCGGCTCTCGGGCAAAGTCGTGTCGCGCGGCGACAACTTTGGCCATGCTTGGTGTAGAGGGTATCTTTCATGAATACAGAACACTGGCTAGCAGAAAGGTAAACGTAGACAGATGTTCTGCTTTATTGTAGGCCAGTTGGGCACAGGGTACGGCTTAACTGCACACTGCTCCGTAGTCGAATTTTCGTATGAAATGTTTACTTCGAAAATTGTCATACATTATTAGCATACAGTATTACTTTCTGATTATTATTTTCATTCTAATGTATTATACATCCGTACAAAACAAACAAATATGATAAATAATTAATACATTCACTGTAACTGCATTTATTTTCGATCTTTCATTTTGAATTAGGAATAAGATTCTAAAGCATAAATGTATTCTTTTTTTCTTTTTTTTTTTACATGAATCAGTTAACTACTTCAGAACTTCGTTTGCAAAATTCGAGTTGCTACAAGCGTTGGAACAAATTTTGGCCCTAAAAAGGGCCGATTGTTTATGCTGTTGAAATGGCTTATGCTCTCTCTCCACGAATACGTCGCGCCAGCTGGATGTCTTTCGGCATGATAGTAACGCGCTTGGCATGGATAGCGCACAAGTTGGTGTCTTCGAAAAGCCCAACCAAATATGCTTCGCTGGCTTCTTGTAGAGCCATGACGGCAGAGCTCTGGAATCGTAGATCGGTTTTGAAATCTTGAGCGATTTCACGAACCAGACGTTGGAATGGAAGTTTTCGGATCAGTAATTCGGTACTCTTCTGATAGCGTCGAATTTCTCGAAGAGCTACGGTTCCAGGCCTGTAGCGATGAGGTTTCTTTACTCCTCCAGTGGCGGGGGCACTTTTGCGAGCAGCCTTTGTAGCCAGTTGCTTACGTGGAGCTTTCCCACCAGTTGATTTACGAGCAGTTTGCTTTGTACGAGCCATTGCAGAATTCACGTGCTGTTATAATCAACAACAAGTTCGTACTAAACTTATTTTTTTAAGGTTGTAATATGTGTAGATAACCTACTGTAATGAAAATATCAAAAATCGTAGAACTCTTCCACTCGTTGCGCTTACCAATATTACAGCGAATGTGTTTTATACTTGAAACTAGGGTTCTTATATACACCTCAGTCTACTCGGGTTGGCTATCATCGTAGTGGTGGGACGAGTCGCTAGGGTGAGTATACATGTAAACGAACCATGCCGCTATTGGCTCGGAGATGCAAGGTGGGGAGTTCCGCCAATACTATATAACGAACTCACTTTGTGCTGTTGATGATATTCTCTCTCTCGTTTTCATCGAGGCTACGAAGAATTATCTCAGGATAACGAAGGAAAATCTCGTTTGTACTGTGTTTATAATCGTGTACAAACTAGCATCCAAGGATGGAAGAGAAAGCGAGCTCTGGATCAACTTCGACGGCTGAGAACGCGTCGTCCAACGCGTCGCCCGCTAAGAAGGCTTCGAAAACGAAGTCGAAGAGTCAGCAACGTTCATCGCATCCTCCAACTTCGGAGATGGTTAATGCCGCCATAAAAGAGCTGAAAGATCGGAAAGGATCGTCGCTGCAAGCTATTAAGAAGTACATCGCGACGACGTACAAGGTCGACGGCGAGAAGGTGGCGCCATTTATCAAGAGATACCTGAAAACTGCCGTCACATCTGGCGCAGTTGTTCAGACTAAAGGAAAGGGCGCATCTGGTTCTTTCAAACTTTCTACTACGACTAAGGGTTCCGAGGTGAAGAGCAAACCCAAACGTACAGTTAAAAAACCACAACCTGCAGCTCAAAAGAAGCCTGTAGAACAAAAAGCTAGCCAAAAGAAGATTGTAACTCCGAAGAAGCCAGCACCAGCTAAGAAAACTTCGCCTGTGGTTAAGAAAGCTGCTGCAGTAAAGAAAGTGAAGGTTACTCCAGCTAAGAAAGCCGAATCGCCGAAGCAAAAGGCAGCACAAGTGAAAAATTTGTCGAAGACGAAGAAAGCAACCAAAGCACCAGCTGCGAAAACGAGAGCACCGAAGCCAAAGACTGCCAAGTCATCAAAGGCAGCGAAGGCGACCGCGAAGAAATAATCTTCGCCGAACGATTAATGCGATACTAATGGCCCTTTTCAGGGCCACAAATTATTCTACGAATGAACAACCTCGATTTTTACTTAAAATGGTTTCGATCGAATCTTTAATAAAATCAATATTCACTCTTGCCACGATGTATGTATATTCGGTAAAATAGATTTATATACTAGATACGTCTCTATGGACAGCAATACATAATTTATATGGTCTCTAGGTACAATTTGCTATGGTGTATTCACATCTACTTCACAGTTTAATATCGTTTCGTTAGTACAATCATATTTTTCTAGTAGAAGCTATACTACTTGAGACTGAACTCAATACTTTTCGTCGTAACTTTACAACGTAAAAGTTTTATTGTTACACAAGCTTGGAAACATGAATTCTCATAGTTCATCAATGATTTAATGATGACGATTATTTCGACAATAAAATAGTTCCTATACGAGTGGAGTTGAACGATTGTCCGCCAAAGGATATATACAACAGAGTTTATGTACTAATGAACATACATTTGTATGTAGTTTTACTCTAAGTTGCAAAACGATAATATTTGCATAAACATTAAAATTTATGATGATTTATAAGCGTGGTGCTTTGATCGCGTAACGTAATTGTAATTTTTCAAAGATAAGTATCATAATGAACAATTCACATCGCGTTAAATTATGTTACATATATACGTACGTAATCACTAAAGATGAATACTTAAGAGGGAAATGCCCCAACCGTGTAATAAAGTTTTTAAATAAAATACACGTATAAATGTACTCGAATTTCATGCATTGAACGGAAATGTGAAATGTTTTATTACAGAGAAAGCAATTACGTTACAATTATTGCAAAAAAAATGGTATTCGAATCACAAAACGAAATTAACTTATGTAATCACGTAATCCTTAAAAACTTTATCATTAATACTTCAACGGTAATACCACATAGTCTTGTCACAAATATTGTTCATCCTTTCAATATCAGAGCCCATTTTAATCAGCATCGTCATAACAAACTATACATACCAGCCACGACTATAGTCGGTATCCACGTAATCGTCTACGGACACCAGCGTTGAATATATTCAGCACCAACATCACGAACTATAGATGCAGGTAATGCTATCTGTAAAGAGTAAAGGGAGAACCTGTGGCGAACACTCTGGTACACTGGTCAGCATTCAGAGTCGTTGCTTATTCTTAAGATCATCTTAAGCATTTGCTTAAGTCCATGTTCCCTGTACAAGACAAAGACTGGAAATATGGAATAGACAGGGATAGCAAATTCTTAAGACAATTTTAAGAATAAGCAACGGACTTTGAATACCGGCCAGAGAAAGGTTATTACTATTACTCTCGGACGTGTATCTAGTAAGTAAAGGTTTAAATAACTGAATCTAGTAGAGTAATATCTAATAAAACTAAATATTGGAACTCAAAATGACGGAAGGGGAACCGAACATTTCGCATCAATATCCCAAAGAAAAATGATTTACTGGTTCCTTCCTTTGCAAAAAACGGTCCAGCTTTAGACCCAAGGCGTAGGTTGGAAGAAAAGCCTAATTTATAAGCAATCGCATGTTTCCTTTGTTATGGCGTGGAGCGACATATGTCGCTGCTACTGTGCATTTATATTAATATTAAATGCTTTATTCCGTATTAGTGATATGAAAGTGTTCATCCGTAGAAAGAAGTTTGGCCCCGAAAAGGGCCGGTTGTAAAAATTCAGTTGGGTTATAAGCTTAAGCTCTTTCTCCTCGAATACGACGTGCTAGTTGGATATCTTTAGGCATGATAGTAACACGCTTGGCATGGATAGCGCATAAATTGGTGTCTTCGAAAAGCCCAACCAAATATGCTTCGCTGGCTTCTTGTAGAGCCATGACGGCAGAGCTCTGGAATCGCAGATCGGTTTTGAAATCTTGAGCGATTTCACGAACCAGACGTTGAAACGGAAGTTTTCGGATCAGTAATTCGGTACTTTTCTGATAGCGTCGAATTTCTCGAAGAGCTACAGTTCCAGGCCTGTAGCGATGAGGTTTCTTTACTCCTCCGGTAGCAGGGGCACTTTTGCGAGCAGCCTTTGTAGCCAGCTGCTTACGTGGAGCTTTCCCACCAGTCGATTTACGAGCAGTTTGCTTTGTACGAGCCATTGCCGCCTTACGTAATAAAGTTCAAGTGAAAAATTAATCTCTGAACACTCTGATCGTAAAATAAGAAATGGCGGTCCGAACCATGAATACGCCTATTTTAAGATACCGTATTATAATTGGGAAGCACCTGATTGGATGGCGGTGGAATGGAGGGGCGACGACACTTGCGCTGGCATAAATAGTCCGCGACTTCGAGTGGAGGGCACATTCGGTTGTTCCGATTCTTGGGATACAGTTCGTCATTGTATTGATCGAGTTTCATCATGACTGGTCGTGGAAAGGGAGGAAAAGGATTGGGAAAAGGAGGTGCGAAGCGTCATAGGAAAGTCCTTCGTGATAACATCCAGGGAATAACTAAACCAGCTATCCGTCGTCTTGCTCGTCGCGGTGGTGTCAAGCGTATATCTGGATTGATTTACGAAGAAACGAGAGGTGTGTTAAAAGTGTTCCTTGAGAACGTCATTCGTGACGCCGTCACGTACACCGAACACGCTAAGAGAAAGACCGTAACAGCAATGGACGTCGTCTACGCTCTGAAACGCCAGGGCAGAACTCTCTACGGTTTTGGTGGTTAAACGCTGTGTATCACATTTCATCGTACATTTTTATACAAACGGCCCTTTTCAGGGCCATCAAATTTTCATGTCGTTGGTGTAACTCTCAAATTGATTTTAGATCGTTAATACTAATATGTTTAAATTTGCGAAATAAGATACTTTATCCTTTCCTTTATAAAAATAATATAAAATGAATAAACCACTGGAAAAGCCTACAAGGACCAAGAG